AAAAAAAAAAAAAAAAAAAAGAATACACTTAAGAAAACAGATTATACTCACAATGTATATTAAGTAACAAAGCAGTATGAAAATAATGTTCTCTAACTCCATTACTTTGTATAAAAATATTACATACATGCCTTAAAATCATGAATTGAAGAGTTTTTGAATATAGCATGTCTGCTGTCTTCCCATTGAAACAACTGTCCAAAGCTCTATTTTTAAAGAAGTGGTATGTGTGTGCAGTGTGCACATAGAGTATAAATATGCCAGGTGAGACGGACTGCCTGTGCACATGCATGTGGAAGGCACAGGTTACTATGGCTGAGAAGAGATCTCTCCCTAACCCTGAGCTTGTTATATGGCTGGCGAGTCCTGGCATCTGCCCATTCCATCTCCCTGCCTGGCTTTTATGTTGTTGCTGGGAATCTGAACTCGGGTGCTCACACCTGCCTATGCAGTAAGCACTATTTTATCAAGTCATGTCTACAGCCCTTAGAAGTGTTTTTAAAATTTTATTTAGTTGTATTTCATATACATTGGTGTTTGCCTGCATTTATGTCTGTGTGAAGGTGCCAGATCCCCTGAAACTATTATGAACAGTTGTAAGCTGCCATGTGGGTGCTGGGAATTGAACTTGTGCCCTCTGGAAGACAGCTTGTGCTCTTAACCACATTGAGCCATCTCTCTAGGCCCATGTATCTTTTAAGAACCAATTTTTGTAAACTTCTATGAAAATGAAAATTTCAATACCCTAAAATTTTTCTTAAGGTCATACAGCAAAAGAAAAAAAAAATCATTAAAAAATAAATAAATAAACCAAGCAAACAAAGGCAGGCAAACCCTGCTTAGCTCTCTTCTAGCATGTAAGACCTTAGTCCCCCCTTTCTAGGCCTTTCCATCAGCTGCCTATTCCTAAAAACACTTTCACCAGGGACCCTCAGTGGCCACACTGGCCTGGGACTCAGGTAGGAGATTCTCACTATCCTTCCTGAACTCCATTACAGTCCTGCCTTAACTTATTCCTGTAGCAGCCTGCTTTCAGTAGCCCGCCCTCCCACTCCAATACCAATCACTGGGACCACTTCTAGCCCTTTCCTGCTTTCAGAAGCCCACCATCCAACCAAAGGTCCACTCCCTGGGGACTCAGCCTCCTGGTGCAGAACCCACGCCCCCAGCTTTTGCCCTAACCTGCTCTCATGTGGTCTTGCTTCTAGCCCATCTCCATTCCCTCTGCCACCCGCTGACCTGCAGAACCTCTCTCTACTAGGGACCCACAACCACCACACTCTGCCTAGGATCCAGATAGGACAACAGTAACCGAAGACTGCAACAGCCACCCAACAAAGACAAGACTAGATATCAACACCAAGAAAAATTTCAAACATCATAACTCAAGAAGTACAAAAGACACAAACATGAACAGCCAAGACAATATGCTTCCACCAGAAGTCAGTAATTTGTTTTACGGCTTCATAGCAGGTCCTGAGAAATACAATATAGCTGAAGCACAAGGCAAAAACAAACAAACAAACAAACAAACAACAACAACAAAAAAAAAAACCCTACTGTAATTGAAGTACCAACAAACACTGCTTGCAAGCTGAGACAGGAGATGGGAAGGATGGGAAGTGGATACCAGTCAGGGCGGGCATGAAATCCAATCAAGCCCTCTGTACTAAACTCCATCCATCATCTGCTGAAGATCATACTCAGCGTCTGGTGTCAAGTCTGGCCATGCTCCATCATGACTGCCTCGGTCCCTCCTAAAGATGATTAAGACACAGACCAGCTCATTACTACCCTGGTCAAAACCAAACAGTGACTTCACCATGCAGGGGCAAAGGAGAGCAGGCTATTGGAGCCCAGTTCTCCCCTCACAGCCATGTTTCAGAGAGATTTCTGACTCCAAACAAAAGTGCTTTTCTAAGAGCACTTGGGTCAGCAACACCCTGTCACCAAGAATTCATCTTTAGAATTAGGCACTTTCCAGAGCAGAAGAGAGGTCTCAGGTTGACAACAGCACTAAATAGAAGAAAACAAAAAAACAAAAGACTTTTGTTTACAAAGCAGTGCAGGACTGACTGTACCAGGGACATTGAAGGCCTCAATTCTGCATGCAGCATGTACTGATTAATCAAGATAGGTAAGTTCTTTTTAATAAGATACTTGAAAGCCGGGCGGTGGTGGCACACGCCTTTAATCCCAGCACTCGGGAGGCAAAGGCAGGCGGATCTCTGTGAGTTTGAGACCAGCCTGGTCTACAAGAGCTAGTTCCAGGACAGGC